ACCAGGCACAGGCACAGTCACAAACACAAGAGCACAGATCAATTGGTGTGATAGGTACGGCGTGGGTGACATGATCAGCGTCTAGAAGTCCTGGTCGTCGTTTCCAGCAATGATGACGTTGTTGACCTGTGCGTTTGGTGTCAGTAGTTGTTTGCAACAAGGCAGTGATCCAGCGGTGAGGATAAACGGTAACACAAAGCGAGAAAAAGGGAAGGGTGGTGTTTGTTCGCGTGTAACGAGAACAATGCAACCTGCATAAAGCGCACCACCCGTGCGACGCTTTATCTTCGGCTTCCCCGCTTCCCCGGCCTTGCAATCGATCCAGAAGACGGACGCAAGGGAGGGAAAGTGAGCAAAGCGAGGTTGCACAGACGGGAGGGAAGCGGAAGGGATAGCGGGAAAGGGAGTCACACCAAGGGTGTGCGGTGCGACAAACGACAATTCGTTACGGAACAGGGGCGGGAAAGTTACGATACGTACCTTGAGTACCATACGGCACAGCTGTGTAGCGAGCAACAGTTGTTGCCGCTTCGAGATCAAGGGATCGATCACGAAGTGCTCCTTCATATCTGTGATAACGCCACGTTAGTACAATCTTCGGTAATTCAGCCACCAATGAGGCCCATGACGTTGTGCATAACAATGACAGCAAAGCAAAGGTCTCAGATGACTCCTGCTCATCTCCACTTGTAGTTGCGTTCATGCCAGCGCAGCAAGTGGCGTGGCGTGGGGTAATGCGCCGTACCCCACGGGGGCGTTGGATGCGGGAACTGAATGCGGGAACTTGGATGCATCACGGGTCTCGGGTCTCCCGGAGATAGTCCGTACTGCAGCTATGCTTGATAGCGGTGAGGCAGCCGGGAATCATAGAGACAGCCGTGGGGAGATGGTTGGATAACAAAGAGCGAAGTGCACTTACCGTTGCTTCCCGTCTGCATGCAGTCAACACCTAACCTGGTGTTTCCCTCCTTGGCTTGTCGGGACTTGATGTTGGCGAGGGTTTCGATGGGGCTAAGACCGGAGTTCTCAGCCAGCGCCATGGGGACGGCGTCAAGGGCATCGGCGAAGGCGCGCATCGCGTATTGCTCAAGGCCAGGGCTCTGCGAAGTGTTAGTTGTTGTTGTTGTCGCGGAGCTCCGTAACGCTTACCTTGACTGCGGCATCCTCGACTGCGAGCGAGCATGCTACTTCCGCAGCTCCTCCACCGTATACGATACGGTTGTCGCGCACCAGGTTTCGGACGACGCAGAGGGCATCGTGTAGTGACCGCTTGGCCTCGTCAATGATCATCTTGTTGCTACCGCGAACGAAGACAGTGACAGCCCTTGTGTTCGCACACTCCTCAATGACCAGCATCTTGTCGCGAGTGGTTCCGAAGGTCAGTTCCCGGACGATGCCAGCCTTTCCGAGCTTCTCTGCGCTGAGGTCCTCGAAACGGGGTACGATGCGTCCGTTGGTTGCGATGGCGATCAACTCGATCTCTGGGCCTCCTACCCACCGTACAGCAGGCAGCTTGTTTGTGAGGAGAAGATGGTTGGCCTCGTCGTCGAAACCCCACTGACATATTACTACGTTGGCGCCGGTGTTCTTGATCTGCTCAATCATCTCGGTGAACTTGTTTGACTCGTAGTTTTGTAGCTTCTTGAACTCCTCTACGGTGGTGATGTCCAACTTGTGCTTGGTCTTGGGCTTCGGTGGCTCGAACGCGCATGTGAGGATGGCGAGTTTGGCGTCCTTGACCTCCGACGGCATCTGGGGATGCGAAAAGTCCTTGTCTATTATGACACCCTTGACAAGTAATGTGTCTTCGAGCGATCCACCGACCTTGCCGTCAACCTTGATGAGCTCGAAATCGACGTCTTTCCGCTCGAGATCTGCGACCGAAAGCACAGCATCTACGGCGATTTTGGCGAACTGGTCGTGCGCCTTGGAAACGATCTTGCTGCCCAAACTTGTCTTTGCGACCTTGAATAGCTCTTCGGTGTTGTCCTTGGAGAAGTGGATCTCGTCGCTGACCTCGTCGAGCTTGGCCACGGCAACCTCGCAAGCCTGGTCGTACCCGTCTGCTATCCTGATGGGGTGGATGCCCTTGTCGATAAGGTCTGCTGCCTGCTCGAGAAGCGCGCCCGCCAAGACTACGACACCAGTTGTTCCGTCACCAATCTCGTCGTCTTGTGATTTGGATAGTTCGACCAGCAGCTTCGCGACGTGGTTGGAGATTTCCATCTGGGAAAGAATGGTAGCGCCGTCGTTTGTGACTGTGATGTCTCCGTCGGGCGAAATCAGGATCTTGTCCAGTCCTCGGGGTCCCTAGTTTCATAAGTTTGTGTCCTACTTCCCACTAGAGCGGTGTTGCGTACCAGAGAGCTCTTGACGATGTTCGCGACCGTCTTGGCCGCGAGGATGTGGGACTTGACCGCATCATTGCCGTGTTGCCTCTGCTTTTTGCCTTGACTGCCCGGGATATTAGCTGCTGCCTCTTACTGAGCCTTGGGCCCTATCCATATCATTCCACGTACTCTCTGACAATGATGAACGGCCTGCCCGATTCATCCTTCATCACCTGCGCTATACCCCACTTTGTCAGTCGTTGATTCGCGGGCGATTCGTAGGAGATTCGGACGCATACCGTTAGAAAGGTCGACCTCTGTAATTATATAATGTTAGCATGTGTATTCAACTACCGGGGGTTTGGGAGTTCGGAGCTGTTGCTGCCCGCACTTACGCATCTTTGCGGTGTGAAAATGCCCGCTGAAGTAACAAATGCACGACTCCGAAGAAGTATCAGACTACGAGTACACACTAGGAGGGAATCCCAGGTATGTTTGGTAGTGAGGGGTGGTGGGGTATAGCCAAACAGCTGCCATGTCGGTCTTGAAATTTCCCCAGAAGGGCTTGGCATCAGGGCGCACGGCCGCGAGTCGCGAACGCGCCTTCCGCCAGCTCCAACTCTCCGAACTGCCCTGACGCTTGCTGCCCCGAGCTGCCACCACACCCATCCCAGCGCATCGCGGGCATACAATCGCGCTTATCCGAATCGCCTCAAGCTTCACGAAGCTATCTATTCGCGTTATCTCCATTTCCCATTCATAGCGACAGCGATTCGACATGCCTCGTGAGTCGCGCCCGCCCGCCCAAACAATCACCATACGCGTAATATCCAGCTGCTAACTCGCGCAGCCGCTCTTAGCGATCACGGGTCCTCGGACGCCGAAGACGTCCCCGCGCAGCCAAGAAAGGGAAAGGGAAAGCAGCCGGTGCAGGAGGATCCCATAGACGACGAAGAGGACGAGGATGACAGTGAGGTGGGAGAGGACGAGTACGCGCAAATCCATATGTACATGGATCGCATCGTGTTGACAATGCGACAGATACGTCGTTGAGGCGATTCACGGCCACAGATTCACAAAGGTGCGCGCAAACACCACCTCTTTCCCACGCGCAAACACTGACAACACCAGGGCGTCCTCCAATTCGACGTGAAATGGGAAGGCTACGACGACCCCAAGGACCGGACATGGGAGGCAGAGGAGAACATGTACGCTGCGGCATTGCTCTGTACCGGGTTGAGACTGACAGTCGCAGGGAGGGAGCCATTGATGTCCTGAACGAGTACTTTAAGAAGATCGGGGGCCGACCAGAACCCAAGGGCCAGAAGCGGAAGGGACGACCATCGACCGCCGGCATCAAATCCGAGTCTGGCACCCCGTCATCCTCCACGAAGCGCGCCAAGGCAGACAAGCCAGAGAAGAAAGTGGTAGAATGGAGCCCACCACCAGGCTCATGGGAACACGACGTCGACCACATCGACACGGTGGAGCAAACAAAGGACCCCAAGACGGGCCAACTGGAGAAGTTTGCATACTTGGTGTGGACAAATAAGCAAAAGACACAGCACCCTCTCAAGCACGTCTACCAAAAGTGTCCACAAAAGGTGCGTCAAAACATGTTTTCTGGATATCATTCACCATACTAACACCTCGCAGATGCTCGAATACTACGAAAGCCACCTAGTCTTCACCGAGAACGTGGACGAGCCTCTAAACGGTGACGACACCAACGACACAGTGATGAACGACGACTAATCCGCTTAAGTCGAGTAGTACCCGAAACCGAAATTGTCGATCAAGATATTCCCTTCCGGTGAAGTTCGATTCGACTTCGCCCCCGCGATGCCATACGCGAAGATGCTACCCAAAAACTTCCGTTCCCCGACATGGTCACCCATCACACCTCTTCTATCGTTCCTCCAGTCGCCGACCGTATCTCCCATCACACCTCCTCTTCCGTTGCTTGAATCACCGAAAGTGTCCCGGTTGATACCCACGGAGCAGTTTTCATCTTCCAATCCTCTGGTGCGCTTGGGGGCTCAGGAGGACCCTGATCAGCTGCAAAAGGGTACACATGTGTCTGCTGGGTATGGCGTATAGGCACTGAATGTATTATAAGAACTTCTTTGGATAGGTACGGAAAGGGAATACTGGAGTATCAAGGCTTCGTTCAAGCGGTTCCAGTTTCGCATTGTGTATCTGGTATCGTTCAAAATTTACAACGTTTATACATAAGCCTAAGATACGACCTACAACGCCCAGTGAACATGATCGCGTGCCTTGCAAGTCCATGTCAGCACACCATTGTGGTTGGCATGCGCTTTTCCTGTACTAAATTCTCTCTCTCCCAAGTTGTGAGCAGAGGCTCAAGTCGAGTCAAGTCGAAATAGTTCACAGACGAGGCAATCAAGAGAAATGGTTTTGAGTAACTTTGAGTATGTGATTCGTTCCATTCCATGCGCAATTGTATATACAAACATAACAATAAGCTCCGTAATAACGTTGCGGGTATCCCAATTCGGCCCATGCCAATCGACATGGCTTCTTCAATCGCATTATCTCGTTCTCGCGTACGATGAAACTCCAAGGCGCAAGTCGCATAGCCATGCAACCGCAACTGCCTAAAAACGCCGGTGCCATGCATATGTTGTTGGTGTGTTGTACTATCTTTCATGTCGTCGTAATAATGTCTTTTTGTTCCTCTTTTCTCTTGGTGTATCGTGTCTCCGTGTTCCCTTGTGTTGTGTGTGTCTGTATGATGTGGTGTGATGTGGTGAGGCGTTTACACGTTCTCAGTCATATCAGAGACGGACGACGCAGTGCCGCCGACAGCCATGCGCGTCTGCAGGTAGTAGATGAGGTATGCGATGGCGGCGATGAGGATGAAGAGGATGAGGATGATGAGGAAGATGACGATGTTGCGCTGCATGGTTGCGGTTGGGTGGGGTGGGACGAGGGGGTCTCGTTGGTGGTTGTAGTTGAGGTGGTGGTGTTGATGTGTAGTAATGCGATGCAAAAGTATTCTGTAACAAAGTCAGTAAATCGTCCTTCGCAGAATGAGTAATAATTGTATGCGCACTGTAATCTCAGCGCAAACAATCAATGGTTTTGTATAACGCGGTCGTGGTGGTGTCCAAGCTCGCTATCGTCCAAGCAACACTCAGTAGTCAAGCGATGGTATCCTGGAAGCAATCGAATGACCAAGGATAGCAATAATAAGATGGATGGTAGTACGAAGGAACTCGAAAAGTACAAGTGTATGGTAAGTGTGTGTGTGTGAGGGGAATCGAGTTAATAATATCAGCGAGGTAATCTGCAAGCCAAGTCGTAGTCCATTCTGCAGGTGGCATGCAGGCACTTTTGTACAGACGTGGCGGGGTGCGTGCGCCGCGTGGGTGGTTGGGTCGCGTCCATGGCCGGAGGGGCTGGCGTGGCTGGGATGCCGGCGTTACTGGCGGTGAGGCTGGTCTCGAAACAATGGTTGACGGAATTGATTTAATTGAGTACGTGGTGATGCGTTTGTTGAGGGAAGCTTGTTTTTGGGATTTGATTCAGGGTATAGAGATTGAGGTTTGTGTTGGTAAGGATGGGGGGATGGGAAGGCGCGCGGTCAGGTGTTCTGGGTCTTGGCGCGTTCGGGGCGGGAGAGCGATCTGACAGCTCGGCCTTGCGACGACTTCACCACCATCACTATGCATACATGATGAGGCTTACCATTACCATTGCTAAATATGCGCACCGCACAAGTCACCACCACTTCAATTCGACGTCCGCGCAACATTGCAGATCCAGCGTTCAGGCGGCCGTCCGTGAATGCGACAAGGCGCTTTCCGCGTGATGACTATCGATTCGCTGTTGTCAGCCTAGTTTCCGTTCGCTTCGCAGCAAATAACTTCTCTGGTCGAGTTCATAACTGAAGATCAAGTCAATTGGTGCCTCATTCGGTGAACATGGCCATCACCAGCAGTGCACATTGCTTTGGTATCGAAGACGCAACGCAATGATCCTTGTGGTGAAGTTGCCCCATCTGCGAGGTGAGTGCCATCAATCATGCTACGCATGGTGATATTCCCGTGGCAAGGTAAGATTGAGCTATCTCACTATCCGGGAAGCCATAATCGAAGAGCGAGTGAGAGACAGGACTGCAGGTGCCTGTAAACTTAAAGCACCTTATTCGTATTCCACTTCTAAGACACCACCTTTCCTTACCTCTACGATCGAATCAAAATCAGAGGTAGACAACAGTATGCCACCCAAGAGAACCCATGCCGAGATGTCGGCTACAGGAACCGAGCCGCCCGCGCTGGATTCCTGTCCGCAGGGAGAGGATTTGGTCGCTTTGTAAGTGGCTTCAATTCTCTTATAAGTATAGTCCACTGACCATTCTTGACAGCGCACTAAATCCTCGGGTCGTTAGGTTACGCCTGGGTCCTCGTGATGCCAGCCTCGGTTCCATCCACGTACCCTGCGAGTTGCTAAAGTCGGCCTTATACTACGAAGGCGCTCCCACAAGTCCCTTCCTGAGTCCAGGCAAACCCGAATCAGACATCTGGCTCAAAGGGCCGTTTTGTCTCGACGTGCTTGGTCTGCTTGTGCAGTGGCTACACACTGGCAAGTACAATGAACTACGTGGCCCTGCCAGTCGGTTACGTTGCACAGGCGACGCTATAGACCTGAAGATAAGACCTGATCTTGACCAGAAAGACACCATGGATTGGGCAGTAAAGGCTGCGACACTAGCCTGGCTGTTAGGTGACGAGCTGTGTGTGGACGGATTCCAGAGCTATGCTATAGAACGCCTCTTTGCCGCTCTTGCACGCAAGTCACAGCACCCACAACTCACGCCAGACTTGTGCGAGTTCGCTTGGGGTCATACAAGCGAATTCGCATGTCTAGATTGGCTACTGATGGACTTGGTGGTTCGCAACTGGGGTGATGGGGCTATTGTTGATCAAGCAGATCTGCCCCACTGGTTTTCTGTCATATGCAACGAGGTTTACTTCCAGGACAAGTTCATGGAGGGGACTCTCATATCACTTGAAAAACGTCGTGAGAAGGTCTTGGTGCTGAAGGACTATCTCTGAGTACCCGAGAGCATGCAGGAGACACCAGCTTCGAGAAGACGAGTGCGAACAAGACTACGAAATGGTAGTCAGATGGAATGGAGATTGGAGAAAAGCAATTGGCATCAACTGGAGTGGATCTTGGTATCTCTGGGACTGTTTGTTTTACTTGATTTGGTTACTTCATCACTGTGAATTCAGCATCTGCTACCTTCTTCTCCTGAACTTCGCTTCCGAGCCGCCCGTCTTGGCTACTAGTTTCTTTCCAGCCTAGGTCTTCGTCTATGCGCTGTAGTCTTGCGTAGCATCTTTCTCGGTAAAGCTATCAATCACACTTGCCATATAAAGAGCCGGTAGCCCAGACATGTATTGTAACCCGCTTCCTATATCTCTTTTTGCCTTCCCTCAATGCCCCATCGCCATCAGCCATGAATGTCGAACGCTGCATCAGCCTTCACAACGAAATCGTACGACACGGCTGGGTCGGCTCAGGCCGCTCCGCAGATACACTTGCTTCGCACAGCAAATCTTGGTTCGAAGTGTTCGGCGATGAAGCCGAAGCCGAACGATCAAATCTCTCGCCCGGTCTCATTCAATTCCTCGAGCAAGTCCAGATTCCGCGCGTAGAAGAAGAAGGGTTCTATCCTGAGTTCTTTTACTGGGTTCAAGGCCTGTCTCATCCTGAGCACATGTTCGAGTTTAAAGATATGTTGTAGGATTACGACTATACCAATGACAAGGAGGAGAAGGGGAAAGGTGATGAGAATGGTGGTGGTGAGGAGGAGGGGGGAAGGTGATGAGGAAGAGAAAGGCATCGAGGAAGATCAAGTTGACGAGGAGGAAGAAGGTGATGAGGGAAGGCGCTTAGTCCTGTATGCTGCGGCTCACTTCGATACAGGGCATATCTGTGGATTGATGTAAGAGACTTCATGTTGCTGTTCTACTGGAACAACGAGCTCACAAGGACAGATATGACCAGAAGACCAATCTCTGTACTCTCAGTCTCACTATATACGATACCGACGACATCAGTACACAGAATTGGTATTCTTTAGAAACCGTGCTTACTCTCTGGCTCTCTCAGATCCGCAACGAGACCATCCAGGCCGCACCAGAAAAAGGAGGGAGACTTCGAGAAGAGTGGCCTGAAGTGTTCGGCGAGTACTGGGAACATGCGCCTTGGGTCTTCGTGCCGTACAATGAGAATATGCTCAAGCACAACCTCGATGTATGGGAGAAGCTTGTTGAAGCAATCGAGAGCCGCATGCCTGCAGCCAGTAGATCACAAGCAGCCGAGAGACCCATGTACGGCCTGTTGGACGACAACATACGCGACACAATAGACATCCCCCATCAATGCGCATACGATTTCCTCTTCCCCGCCCGCCGCCCCCGCTTCAAGATGATAGCTCCCGGTCTCCGCGTCATCACTTCCTCGGACTTTCCTGAACAACCCTTCCGCTCCTACATGTCCAAAGATAAAGAAGAAGTGCCACCCGTACTACTCTTCCAGTCCGACCTAAACTTCTCCGAAGACCCAACCTGGACTCCGCAAAGTTTAGACGACGCCATGGTACCGAACTTCTTCGACTACCGCGATATCAAGACTTATCCTTCTGGCTTATACCTACTGCCTACCAATCACAGAAGTCTGGAAGACGGAATCTCGTTCGTCTTGCCATACGCCATTGGTGGGAAAGGGTTTGCGAGGCGAGGCGATGGAACAAATTTCGCGGGTGGAGAGGATTCGCGTGGGAAAGATAGCTTCACAGAGTTGTATCAGCCTGGACGAAGGGCGCTTGAAGAATTTCAGGCGCAGAGTCTGGCGGGGGTGTTGGAGAGTTGGCTGGGTATGGTGGAATGAGGGGACTGGAAAGTCGATGAAAATGGGGTGGTGGGTGATGTGGAGACTTGGAGGGAAGCGGATACGGAGGAGGGATGGAGGAAGTATGTTATATCGAGTAAAGAGCCATCTGGTAGCGATTGGGAACTGGTGTAGATAGATAGAGGGCTTATTCTAAGGCAGTGAGGCTTCAATAACCACATCTAACGCATTCTCATGCCTCCAAATGCCCTCAATTCTGAGTCCCACCGACTCGAGTAGTTCGCGAAACTGCGACTCAGTTCGCTCTTGACCAGAGAGCGATTGCATGACGTTGACATCCATGGCCGTAAACGCCCATGGTGCGTTTCGATTGGGTATTAGAAGCTCTTTGATGAGAAGCTTGGAGTAACCGGGCTTCATAGCGGGGACGATGTTTCGCAGGATGCGGCGGCATGCGTCATCGCTACTGAAGTCATGGAGGATGTGTTGGAGCATATATGCTCTCGCATCTATACAGGAGCGTTATTGCCGCACGGTTGTCACACGACAACCTTAGAAACGTACCTTCAATTGGCTGAACCTCATTCCAGTCTCCCACATGCGCTTCAAACCCATCTTGCTCACTCCGATCAACAATATGCTTCAACTCCTGCAGCACGAGTCGACCCTTGACATCTCCTCCAAGCGCTCTCCTCAACAGACCCAGATCACCCGCATCGCCGCCTCCGATGTCAACAAGTAGTACCTCCTCGTCAGACACAGGTCCACCTTCCACTAACCGCTCTCTGAACGGGTAGTACCCATCCTCCCAAAAGAAAGGTTTGCCGGCGTTATACATCTGAATCATTCCGCCGAAGCGCTTGCCCATCGCTGCGTCTTCGTTAAAATACGTGTAAAGCGATTTGTTAGAAAAGCTATGGGCGTGTTGGAACGAGCCGTTGCTAATATCAGATGGGTTGCGGTGGGAGATTGAGTCGAGGAATGAGGGGACGCGCCAGCCCACGTTGTAGAAGTCATCGAACCTATTGGGCGTGTGGTATGAGTATTGAGACGTATGTATGTGCGTGAGAGTAGTAGTTTGGGGCTTACATAAAGTGTATAGCATCTTTGAACGACTTCTGCCTCAAAGACGCTGAGAGCCGAGTGCTTGCGTAGGTATCATGATCGACTTCACGGATTGTGCCGTTTGCTGCTAGATGGCGTAGGAAGCGTGCTGTACGTTCTTCATTAGTACAACTTCATGAGACAAAGATTTCCAGTCTCTCCAAATAGTTCCGCATGCCAATCTTGAGGGCATTTGTTGAAGCTCGCGACGAAGTACACATACCAACCAATTTTGCATCCGCCCCCGCAACCTCAGCAATCTGCTCACACGACACCCCTTTCTCACCAACATCACCCAACGCTTCAAAAACTCCCCATTGCAAAGCAAGTCGAATAGCGAGATAATGTCCAGGCTGATTGTATTTCATCCGTGGTTAGCGCTAGTCGACCGAATGCAGTAGCCACAACCCCGCAAACCCAGAAAGCCCACGGTAAAAGCGTAAGACATACTTCATTAAACGTCACCCGAAAGACAGCTTCGTCTGGTCTTTCCAACTCGTTCCTAAGCGCTTCGGCTAAGCCGCTGAGTTGGAGGCGCTCGGTGTTGCTGAGTTGGGTGCGGAGGGTTGGGGCGGCGGCTAGCAGGGTTTTGAGTTGGGAGAGAGCATCAGGTTCCATGGTATGCGGAAAAGTGAGTTTAAAGTATACAATTTGTGAGGGGCGATGCTAGAGATTGACGATGATACGGCATCTAGATTGAACATGCCGGTAGAGGGGAAGTAGCCAAGAAGGCGTATTGCGCCTGCCGTTCCAGGTCAAGCGCAGGAAGGCAGGAACGGTCGGGTGCATAAGTCTGTTCGTATGCTCCAGGAACACATTTGGGAGGCCAAAGACGTTTGGATAATGTTTATGTTTTCTTTGGGGGATCTGATGATGGGCTTCTGGGTTTGAATGTCGATTTCGTCGTCTACACGCCTCCCATGATGTTCGCGACTTTTCCCTTCTTTCTTTCCAATCGTGCTCTGTCCATCTTCCATTGACCCCAGCAGCATGCCAATCCAAAGATTATCGAGCCTCTGGGAGGAGGAAATCGTCCGTAGAGGGCTCGCATTTGGGAGTGACCAAAGGGTCGAGCTAGCAGCATCGTCGGTTACTTCTGGAAGAAATAAGTTGTCAGTGGAACTTTCCGTATCTTTACCAGCTAGTTGTACCTTTTTTGGGGGGTGACGTCGGACTGTGGACAGGAATGAGAAGCAGTCGTGTAATGTAGGTTGACGAACAGACAAGTCGTAGGTGTCGAAGAGTGAAAGTAGTGTCGTTTGAGACTGTTTGTGATGGAGAAAAGCGGGAAGTGAATGTGATACACGGCGACAAATATATGGTGAACGAGATATCTGGTAGCTTTCCATGCGTGACATGGTAGCGACAGAACACAGCCGTGGTTGTGAAAAGCCAGACCCACTTCATGTGTGCGGTACCACCTTCACTCAACTCCTGAGCTCAAGGATATTTGTCACGTCCGACTACATCCCCGTGATACGCATTATGCCATAACCATATACATTAACAAAAAAGGGTATATACAACCACTTCGCGCACTTCGCGTGCTTCCAACCCTTTCATCTTTGCGACCAAGAGTAGCTCAACACTATACAAAAGCTCTCATCTCAATCCCAAATCCAAACAAACACCAATAACGCCATTCTTTTCCTGAATCTACCCCTCCATCCCATCTTATCCCGTCTCATCAACCCTATCCTCTCACTGATAAAACCTCCACTTAACCTCCTTACACGCCCACTCCTTCTTGATCCCATTAATCCTCTCAACCTCCCACCCACTCGTCCACTCCTCATCCCCCACCTTCCCACCCAACCGAATCACCTTGCTGAGATGGCACTCGCCCTCCCCCTTCGCCGTATACCGCCACTGCAAGCAGTCCTCGACTTCCGAGCAAACGGCCTGGCAGCGCTCGGAGCTATCTGCTGCATCGGGGTGTTTCTCGGCGAGCTTGTCCCAGTTTGGCGGTTCTTTCTTGTCTTCTTTCATTTCCTTGCCTTTCTTGTCGTCTTTTTTGTCGTCCTTCTTGTCTTCGCGTTTGGAGATGCTGTTTGAGGTGGGGAGGGCGCCGGCTTCTTGGAAGACGCGGGAGTCGGGTGGTGGGGCGGTGTCGAGTTTGAGTTTTGGGGGGTCTTTCTTATCGTCTTCTGCTTTCGGCTTCGCCTCTTCTTTGGCAGTGTCTTGCTCTCCCTTCTCTTTCTCTTTCTTCTCGGCATCTTGCTCTTCCTTCTCCTTCTCCTTCTTCGCGGCGTCGTCTTTGAGCTTTTGCCGGCGTCCTTCTGGTGCAACGATCTTCGTGTCCTGACTCAGGTTGTCCCAGCCCACCTTTCGCGTTTCGATGTGCGGTTCCACTGAATCGTGATAGGCGTCGCGGTACAGATATGGCTTCTTCCAGCCATTCGCGGTGGTCCACTTCTTCTCAATATCCCACTGCCTCGTGAGTTGGTCACCGCCAAGGTGATTCCATGACACGGCAGGAGCACACCAGTGCTTCCTGGTGTAGTCAAGTGTACTTGGCTGCTCACTCTGGAGAAGTGGCCAAGAAGCGTAGAATTCCACGTGTGCGTCGCCAAGCGCCTTCGCTAGCATCAAGTCGCCGCAGCATTGATCGCCGTTGTCCGGTTCCCACTTGGTTGTGTAGAGCTCATCGTAAGATTTGGAATACCGTCGCAGTGCACCCTGAGACATCATGATGCCTGCTCCGCGCTGCGCCACCTGTGTGCCCGCGATGTAGTAGGGCGCTCCGCTGTAGTACGGTATCCGGTAGTCCAGCCTGTTCAGCCATTGCAACAGGTTCGTCCAGCTCAGACTCGTGTCGGCTTCAATGAAGACAAAGAACTTGGCGCTGGGGTTCATGTGGTACGCCTTGTACACCATGGGCAGGAACTTCCACTTTTCCAGCTCCTCCAGCTTCTTCACGTCTGGCTTGTGCTCCGCATCAGCATGCATGAGCTGGTATTCCTGGAACTCCTTGTGCTTGAACTTGGTCTCGCCGCTTATGGAATCGAGCGCATCGTGTACTTTGTGTCCTTGGAACTCGCCGGCATGGTCGCTGAAGATGGCAAAGGTGGGAACGCAGGCTAGCAGATTGCTGAGGTGACTGTTGAGCTTCTCGATTTCGGCTTTCGATGTCTTGAGGACGACCATGACGTCTTTCGCTCCGTCGGCGTCGTTACAAAACTTCTCGACTGCGTGTGTAGGAATGGCGGCTTCGGCGGGCTTCGTAGGCGCAACGTCTGGCTTAGCCGCAATCGAAGTCTTCGATGCAGGCATCGCCTCAGTGGCTAGTGTTGTAGGCGCTGTCATTGCGCCTGAGCCTGACATGCTCCCCGACTTATCACCACCCTTCAACTTTTCTTTATCCTCCCATCTTCCGCCATCTTCTTCATACTCCGCAACGCCTGTCTCGGTAGGCGCGGATGGTGTTGTCTTTCCCTTTCCACCTTGCGCTCCCTTATCGTCCCATCTGTGATCATCTGTCTCCTTCGGATGATCTCCGTGTGCTATCGGCGTGGATGTCGCGTGCGGAGTCTCGATGACGGGCGGCGGTATTATCGGCTCGGTATGCACATTCTTGTGGTCGTAGTGGTCGATAACGGGTATCGTCGGCTGGGGCGTTTGTTGCGGCAGACCGAAAGTCCAGAAGAAAGTCAAGAGCGAAAAGGAGACGATGATGATGGCGAGCCGTGAGGGGGTGATGAGCGGCATCGCGGCGATAGGGCTTCGACCGCCAAATTTGTAAGTTGAAGTTTGGTTGAGATTATTTTAGGGCATTGAATTAGACAAAGTCTTTGAGTGAAAATAATCAAGTCATGGTGGTCGTAATCGCCAAAGTCGCGAATGCCCCTCTGAGCGATGATCCTGGGAATGATGGATGGATGAGGCGGTGGCTCTCACCCCTTGGCTGTGGCGCTCGGTCTAGCAGGCGCGCCGGAAGACGCGCTATCACGACGCTTGACCTGCCCAACTCCATTTTTCGGTCTTCGATGCTGACGCAGATGCTTGCTTTTGGAAGAACAACTAGAGACTTGGAATCGTATCTACTACACTACTGTATTATGCAGGGGCTTCTGACAGCTGTCACCACGTGTCGAGGGCGCGCCCGCTGCTGTAGCGCACATTGTCACGTGATGCACTTCGATTTCTTCCAACAAGATTACTGCAAGCATGCAATGCGATTGCAATGTTTCACCGAGTAATTGGGGATAGCTCTTACAGATCTGCAATCACCCTCCGGCCTGAAACTGGACGCCTCGTATTCTCTTCGGCGTCTCTCTCCCGCGTTCAATTTCCCTCCCACCGGAGTTCCTCCGCCATCCACAACTTCATCACCCAGCACGCCATTACCAAATCGCGTTTCTTCCCGTCTTTCTCGATTCCATCCGTCTTCTCCAGCACAAGTTCATTTCCATCTTTCTCGACTCCCATCCCCATCAACGATCGAGACGCGTTCGCGGCACCCAGCCCCTCCCTCCCAGTCTCTTCCCGTGCAACAACCACCCCCTCAGCATCCTCCCACACACCCTTCTTGACGCAATACAAAAGATGCTTCTCGGGCTCACATGCACCTCTGTAATCGCACACATGATGCTGAGCTTTACATTTAGTAACATGCCAAATACGCGTCCACTGACCGCCCCACAATGACTCCCCAGACGTCATTTGGATGCTGCCAGGTAGTGTTCCAGCTTTCTTGCCACGCATCTCGAATTCATCTATGCTATATAGCGTTTCTTCGCTACTGTAGGGGATCGGTTGGTCGCGTGCCGTATGTGTGGTTGGTACTGAACATGACCGCGTTTCGCCTGCATGTACAGCGCGGATACGCAACTTTGACACAGATCTGTCAAGGTCGAAGTCTCGTTGCAATTGGTATCGCGGAATGTTTTGGGTCCTGGTGGCGTATATGAAAGAGCCCTCTAGTCTGAACGTTTGCGCTTCTCCGATGGGCACAAGGTCGAGTATCATCTTTTTCGCTTCTCCTTGACCCTGGACTTTCGATCGCGATTCCTCTTTGTATTTTGGAAACGTGTGTGCTTTAGCGAGCGGGCGACGGGCTGGAACGTTGGCGCTTAGCTGCTTCGTCTCTGGTGCTGCGGACGGGCTGCTGCTTGGACGACTTGATGCCGACCACATGCTCGATGGAGATATGGCTTCGTCGAAGAGCGCCTCTTTACCATTGGTAACCGCTCCCGTTAGAACTTCGAATGGGTTCAGCTCTTTCTCATAGGTCTTGAATGTGAAAGAAGGGTCAACGAGTGGGATCAGGGCGTCTTCACTCGATGCAGCAAACTCAAATGGGCGGCTGAACATCGTTGCGGCTTTTTAACGAGATTAGATGATGAGTACACTGCTAAGCATAGGAATGAAGGTCTATATATCTATCCGAAATGTCTCTGAGTGTTCTACGTCGTTGATGTATCAGCCACGATGGGCGTCTAGACTAGTCGTTGTCGGCATATCGCATACACCAGCATGCGCTGTATAAGTCGATCGCGCGACAAGAAGCTGCAGAGTCATCTGGCAGTATTCAAGCGATTGGACTGGACAGGCCGTCGTGTGTGGGCGTGGCGGGTTGAGCTCTCAGTAAGCATGTGAATAAGCGCAGATCGCAAGTTGACTACGCGCGGCTACTCGCATACGCATCACAAAGCAGTTCGAAGCGAGACATAAACGCAAGACGCGTAACGATTGAATGTATTATTGTATATAGCGAGCGAAGGCAGCGTACATAGCCAAATATCCTCCTAGCCACACGGCTCAGCCTTACAACGGCTGCCCATCCTCTCCCAAAATGGGAGCAAAGAAATTGAACTTGCCAAAAGGATCATACTCCTTCTTCAGCTTCCTCAACTTCTCTAACCTCCACGGCTCATACCCATACAGTTGCTCTGTCGTCTCATCACCCCTCGCATAGTTGATGTAAGACTCATAAGGCTTGTTCGTCCCCTTGATCATCGTGTCGCGAATCTGACCCGCGTAGTTCCACGCGAGCGCATCAAGACTAGCGTTCTTGTCGTAGGTCATGAAGGGCGAGAAGAGGAGATGGCCATCGCGATCGGGGTATGCGGTGCTGTCGCTCGGGATCTCGCCAACGCGGTTGGTGGAGTAGCTTTCGAGGAGGACGGCGGAATTGCGGAATTCTGCCGGGAAAGTGGCCATGATGTCTATGACTTCGCGTAGGGAAGGTGCGTCGTATGTGTCTGCTGAGACGGGGACGAGGGAGCGCGTGTAGCCTTTGGTGCAGGAGGGGCCGTCGCTGTCGGCGCCGGTGAATCTGCTAACGCCGCCGAGGTCGGTTATGCCTGATTCGGTGTTGATGGGGGACATCGCGACGAAGGGGTCGGTGTATTGGGCTGGGACGGTGTCGGCACCTTGGTAAATTACCCAGATGATGACGATGGGCTGGTGATGTTAGTAATAACGTAGGGTTGAGGCAATGGATGTAGACTTACGTTCACTGGGTCTACCTCGGGATCGAAAGAGAAGACGACGTAGTGTTCCAAGCTCACGGACCTGTTAGCAGCTGTCATCCAAGTATTCGCGACTGCTATAACGTCTTCCATCTTGTCGTGCGTAAAGAAGTAGCCGCTGACAGCCCATCCATCGACAACTGGCTTCTTGTCATAGATCTTGATCTCAGCCTGGGTCACTAGACCAAAGTTGTGGCCAGCGCCACGTATCGCCCAGAACAGGTCTGGGCTGCTCTCGTTGACGGTGATGGCGGTACCGTTGGCTAGGACCATACGCGCGGAAACGAGCTGATCGGATGCTAGGCCGTAACGTCCTTGGTTCCAGCCGTGTCCACCTCCGAGGATAGGGGAGACGTAGCCGACGCAGGCACAAGCCGTTGTCATTGTTTGCTTGTCATGGAGCCCCAGGAAGTCAATGACGTCGCCGTTGAGGATACCGCCCTGTATCAAAGCAGTATCGCCATCGTCGACGATGAAGATATCGTTCATACCCCGCATGAAGATTCCGACGGCGTTTGTGATGTTGTTGAGGTATGTTGTCGTCGCGTGAGCGCCCGAGATGGCGTGGAAGGGCTTATCGTTGGCATTGGCATAGAGGATCTGGATTGAGGTTAGATAAAGGAAAGGCTTATCGTAGTACGAGTATACTGACAGTCTCCTGAACATCTTCTTCCGTTGCAACCTTCACGATCATGTCGTAGTGCGGAGTCTGCCCGGCGCCCCATCGTACTGTGGCATTGGTAAATTCTTCTGAGCCTGGCAAGTAGACTTGCGCAAGCTGACTCAACGAAGACTTGAAAAGCTTGAAAGATGTATCCGACATGTTCAAAGAAGCCTGAGCCGTAGCCACACAGGCCGCTAGGGCGGCCGCTGTTGAAAGAGTGTTGCGCAACATTGTTGTGATTCGATCCGATGGACAACAGATGAGGTACGGAATTCCATACTGTAGACTTTGATCTTATAGGACTTCAGATACTGGTAAACTACCGTGAAAATTGCGTGAACTGCGCGCCTCACCAACTTGTCGCCGTTGTTAGTTCAAGGAGCGCCCTTGGTCTTTCCCGCTTCTCCACCAATTCCAACGTTGTGGAACAAAGGAAATGCAGTTCACTAGCATCCTTGGTCCCGACACAATGGGTCAGTCGTGAGTCGAAGGCAAAGGGTCAGTTCGATAGGGCAATCGTGAAAGCCATCACTCCTTCTCGGCAGGTACCGTGGTGAACTGATTGGTAGCCACGCGTGAAGCTTACTACGAGATTCTCGGAAGATTCATTGAACTACCAAGTTCGGCCGAAGAACAAATTGATAGAACAAAACGAATATAGAAGGTATTGCCTACCGGTGTTGGAGGTTGCGCATCGGATAATAATGCGCGCTAGCTCGAGACGCGCGTTAGAAGCAAGCGCGTACACATGCTGGACCACGACGACGAAGTGACTTCGAAGGTTCGAAAATGCCTATCAAAGACCAGAGTCTGACCTACTCGGATCAAGGAACAAACGTGCAGCTTGAGTATCGAAGCGCGACCGAATATACTAGATAAGTTCACGACGACGCATCGTAGATGAGTTGTTTCGCGGTAAAGAAGTTGCTGACACGGGCCTTACTCCGTAGGGTCCTGAAAGACGCGCCCCTTGATGTACCTGTGGCGATTCGTGGCTCCAGCGTTGCCGCGGAGAGAAGTGTACGGCACAGGTCCACGAGCTTTACCTGGTGAGCAAGCTTGCTGGGAAGCCCTGGAAACATCCCCTAGGTATGTGATTTAATATGCAGTGGCATACAAATTCGTATTAGCATTGGGTCGTGGGGTGAGGGCACAAGCCGGCCGACGTTGATGTGTGGTTGGAGTGGATGAGATGAAGACGGGGAGATGGCGTCAGGCGCTGCTGCCTTCGGCGGGGGTAATTGCGCCGCCCGCTTTTTGACTGCCACAACAAACAACAACTATACAGCACCATCACTCCCGTACCATCTGCGTTTGTTGATCGTAAATTTTGAATCATCGCTCGATCCGCGCTATTCAGAAATGACAAAGCTGCCTTGCACGCCCTCGCAATGCCGTGTTCACTGGCTGCCCGCAAACCAATCCTTGGATGCCTCGCCTATCGTTGCGCAACTCTGATCCATTGCCAGCATTGATATCTTGCTCAGTAAATACTGCCAATTTCTAGCGCTATGCGTGCCTTGCTGCGACAAGCGGAAGGGCACTTTGCAATTGCCATCTATTGGTAGCTGACATGCACCGCGCTAGTGCCCCTCTCAGCTCGAGGGGCGCCTGCATGGAAGGGCACCACCCGCATAGCCTCATTTCACGGATACTAATATACGCGCCTTCTCTCGATGGCTTCATCATCACTCCATCAATCCAGTCTTTTCCCAGCGCCCCAGTCCCCATCTAATATGGCACGAAGACGTGCAACTAGCTACGGTACCAGCGATCGCGGTCGCAATGTGCCCGCGCACAACTCGCCTAAAGCGGACGATCTCTTCGATTTTGTTTCCATCAATTCTGGCCTTTCATCCCATCCCTTCCACGACATGGAACTGTTCAACTTCGAACAGCCTGATCTCGAACGACTTCAACTCGAACGACTCGATTACGATCAGTACGGTTCTCTTATGAACCTTACGTCATACAACTCATTCACATCTACCGTGCATGCGGGATCCGACACTTACAGTCGGTATGTATCGAATAGACTAACTATCACAACCTTAAAGTGAATATACTGACCCAATGGATGGGAGCACGTACTTTTGACTCTTCCCGGCCCACCCTTTACATAGAGACTTCGGGCCCAGAAACGCTTCCATTTCTCTTTCATCTCCTCTTTGCCCTTTTCCCCATATCTACTGGTCGAACACGCCTCACGTATCGGGTCTGCTATGATTCCGTTGGTTGTTGTAGTGTTGTATCCATAGAGCCTTCCTAGCATTCATCGCAACATCTGTCTTCGGGTTCATCTGCTCTTCCTTCACATGTCATTCCCTTTTCCTTTTCGACTTCTGTATTCTTTTCATCGTTTACAATCATTTCGTATGACAGCGTCTTCACTCATTTCGTCCTGGGCCTGCACTGGAAGTCATCAGGTCTTGTGTTACCATAAGCTTCAGCGGATGATACGGTGTTTCATGATCTGATCTCCTCGCCATGGCGAATGTCGGTAATGGTAGCACAAGACTTATCGCAATGCCCAGATCATCATACTGCTCCCATCTAGGCGCAACAGATTCCAAACCCTTCCCTCCTTCTTCCAGAGACAATCTGAGTCACAATCGCGTGAGCTATTCTCCACAATCAGTAAGTACGCTACAAATAGTATGTCATACGCTATGCTGACTCTTGAGTAGGCCCTGAGAATACTCACAATCCGACCACAACGAGTGATGCTCACGGAGGGAGACCGAGTCACGATTCTGCGGCCACCTTGGCCGACGGGTCGATGAACATTGTATCTCCGGAGTTTGACTTCGCCAACCTGGGAGCCTATGGGCATGCCAACGACGATACCATACACTGCACTTTTCCACGGGAGCAAACTGTTTCTTCCCGCCAAAACTCCCCACACACGCCTTCTTACCGAGTCGAGATCAAGAAGATCTATGTCTGCACCTATAACGACTGCAACAAAGAATATTCGCGCAAGCAAGATCTCCAACGCCACTACCGAGGAGCTCATCAGGGGGATCGCTCGTTCCGATGCCGCGCGCTTGTATGCGAAAGGAACCACCGTGGGTTTCCCAGGAAAGACAAAAGAGACGCGCATGAGAAGAAGATGCACATTGATATCGGAGGTGGTATTTGGGTGTGAAGGAAGTGAAGGGGAAACACACGCAAGACGCCGCAAGAGAAGCTTAATTGGAGGGGAAGACGATTCCGCTATCACATAACTACACTCTGTACGCGATGACAAGCTCTGGCGTCATGTGCGTCATGTTGAACTGTCTGGGGCGCCACGTGGGAAACGCGCACGAGGAGGTTTCGGGTTACGGCGCAGTCTTGCCATGTCTTGTTTACTACGTGGCGTTCATGCTGTCTAAGCGATCCTGCACAGCTCAAATCGAAAGCATTATCTACTTTTAGCGAGCCAATACATGCTAATCAGCTGGCTAACTTACCTGATTCCTGTCTGCGCGCTTCTCCTTCCGGACGTGTGATCACCCGTTCGGTCTTCCTGCGTACGACCCATGTCCGACTCCCGGCGCATCGGTGATTCACATGACTCGACGTACCTCTACCTCCGACTGCTACCAGCGCATCATCATTTTAAAGTTGTAGTCTGCCTCGGATTGATTGAGATCAGCTCGCGAACTACACTGATCGTGACTATTGGCAGTAATCGCGAAATTAGCTTTCGGCAATGCGAACTTCCCCGGCGGTACTGCGGACACACCCTCATGGCCGCAGTCAGGCGGATACGGGCCGCCACGACACCATACTGATTGGGGAAATTCTTACAGCTTTACTTGCCCCGACGGAGTAACCCTTGCTGAAGAGCACATGGTTCAGGGATGCAGGGCAAAACTTTCGTGGCACAGTCCAGGTGTGCTCTGTTTGCGCGTACTCCTTATGCTGACCGCTGTGTTACCTTGCTCTCTTGCTCTGTCAAGTTTCACCTACCTTTCTGCATTCATCCTTCTTGACCACGTCCGCGGAACCGAATTACCAACTCTCGCAAAAAGAAATCATGTCAAGAATTGCTTGTGCCTGGGCGGAGTTAGGCGAGGATGCTAACGATGCCTATCACTGGTACGAAACCACGCATATACCCGACGCCCTGGTGAAGATCAGGTCCACCGCCAGACATGCAGAGCAAGTGGAAGACAGCCCATTCCAGGAAGTACCTGGGATTGATGGCAGGTTCATGACCATTTACGACCTACCAAAACAACCAAGCGCGCAAGACCTGGATGCGCGGATATGCCCTGCGCTGGACAAACTCCCGAATGAGGCGAAGGTAGACACACGGTTCTACACAGAGCATAAGAACTGGTTTGGGGAGGAGTGGCGCGGAGGTATGTCATCCTCAAGATCACGATACAAGGATGCACCATGGAAGCTAACACCCTGCGTCAGATCCCCGCGATGTCCAAATGTGGGTCGTAGTCCTTTGGCAGCCCGCCCCGGAGGTTCACGACGAATTCGTAAAGTGGTTCGGAGAAGAGTTCACGCCCGGTATGCTCGAGAGTCCTGGACTGCTTCGCACGCGCATCTTCAAGCTCGAGCACGCTTCGCTCATCCAGGACGAGAAGTACAAACAAGTGGACAAGGCGTCAGTGTACCAGTACATGACGTTTTGGGAGTTCGATAGCGAGGAATTGCCATGGGAGATCTTGGTATACCTGGGGTCTTCAGAGAGGTGGAGACATTATGTGGAGGGCGGGCTTCTGGTACGTCGCGTGTCTCCAGTCAAATAAGAGTGCTGATAGCTAACAAACTCGTAGTCATGGCAGGTCGGACAATTTCTGGTAAATAACATCTATCCCGACATCGAGGACGCGGACTCCCCGGCCGTCATGGGGGCGAAGATCATCGTAACCCCGGTCGCACAGGAGACGTGAACGTTGTCGACACCGAAACTGATGCTAAGTAGGAATATCAGGATTTGGACGACGATATCAGCCAACATAGCGGAAGTGATCTGTTGGACGGAGGAAATGAGACAATACCCGTAATGAACAGCGGATATGATGACTTGATCGAGGACGTGGATTAATTGGATTGGCTAATATCTTGCCTTCGGTAAACGGCGTTTAATAATACCCCAACTGTTGTTTTCCATTCAGTGTTCCTGTTTCAGACACTTGTACTGATGGCCGGGCTGACCGTCATATGCCATACCACGCTGCTCTATCATTGCCGTATTATGTCGCCTTTTCAGGCGTATACGGTGGGGTACCAGGGGTGACACTTGATAGGTACCGATCAGATGGTACACCGGCCTGAGCATGAACTAGTCCAGGTAAACCTGAAGTGACTTGTTGTAGGGATTGTTTTGGAAGAAACCGTGACATTGTTGCCCGCGTGGCGCCGTGTGTTGACAACGCTGTTCTTGGAGGACTGATGAGAGCCGGTGCTCGCGATCTTGCAAGAACCTCATGTTGATCATGCTCGAGTATAGTGTGTCCGAGGTCCAATAGAGGTGGGTTGCGAGACAGGCTGTATGCGTCCGTGTTTTGCTGTATTTTGCCTAGTGAAGGATCGCGTGCGAGCTGGGATGTGGACTCATGCACGTCTGGCGCAATATGATCGTCTGCCCGACCCGCTCGCCGCCGTCTCCGCGTTTCGACTTGAGAGCTTGCCCCGAAGACTAAGTCGGACGACTCCTGTGGCGTCAGCCCGGGTTGCCTGAATGGGCTTTCAGGCGCCTCTGAGACCGCAAATGCGTTCTGCTCTCCGTCGAGTGACTCATATTCTTCCAATTTGGATGTATCTTTTTCGGGGTTGATGACAAGTTTGATGGTATTGCTCGCTGCGGTTGTTCGAGATCTTCTTGAAGGAAGTATCGGTGCTGATCCCAGGGTTGGTCTACTTGATCGATGCTCTGGGATCGGTAGCGCGCCGGAGCAATAATCGTCTCGACGTTTTCGCACGTGTCTCTCGGCTTGCGACGTCGGCTCACCAAAACTGCCTACTTCTTTTCGTCTGCGGATTTGTGAGCCTTCATGGTGATTGACATCGCGTGTCCTGCTGCGTGAGCCATTATGCGACTTGCAGAATATATGCTTCCCATTTTCCCCAAATCTGAGATGTCTGGGCACGTCCCACACTTCGTCCGAGCTTGCGCTCAAGAGTCTGGCTCGTGAAGGCGCAATTCGATTGCCTTCAAAATGACTACCAGAGCCTTCATCGTGAGCCTTGACAGCCAGCTTCTTAGCCTTCGGTCGCCTTTTCCCAGCAGCATCTGCTATCGGTGGAGAACGATGCGTCTTCTGTCTCGGGCTACGGCCCTTGGTGTAGCGCATAGTGCGTTGAATGCCAGCGAAACTCCTCCGCTCGTCGGCGTCGAGATCGACACCTTCCACATTCGTGTATAGCCTGACTTTGCGTCCGCCGTTGCCTGTACGCTCGCCGCTGACTCGGTAAACGCATGTTCGTCCCTTTCTTCCACTCTGGTGTTTCTTGCGCGCGCAGACGTATCGTGGAGCCGAAGTTTCGGCGTGATCGCTTGTCGTGACCTGAGGTGAGAGCAAGGATTTGACCAGCCCTCTCAATCCGCAACTCGGAAGCAAGACTATGACCATTGCGATAGGCCGTAGGCCAGAGGTAACGATAGGATTGATGGCGGGCCGCTCGCCGTAAATGTGGTCTCGAATATGTACACATCGCGTGCCACAGGTCCCGAGTAGGCGGTAGGGTCGCAGTTGCTTTGAAGCTCTTGGGCAGTTATTGTCGAAAGGATCTATATGAGCAAGGGCGCTACGTAGGAGGCGTAACTGCCGCTTCCAACAAGCGAACTCATATTCGTAGGTTCCTGTATACCATTGTCATCTTGAGACGGTTGTTTCTTACTCGCCCATGCATCTTGAGACCTTGCAGTTGCTTCCATCGCAATGAAAACTTCTGATAGACTGCTAAGGTCGCGTTGCGACTGGGTAGCAGGTGCCTCAGCTTCGTAGAGATCAAGGTGCCTGTTGTTAATGAAGAAATTGCGCTGGAAGATGCCATTGCAAGAACGGTTAATGATGATCAAGTGAAGTCCAAGCTACGCGCGAAGCTGCCAGCGCCTCAACAAATCCGAAGTCGTTACTCGGACTCCGGAGCGCGTTAACGGCCGTTTGGAGAGGTGTAGATGGCATGCTAGCAGTATCTGTGGTGAGGTTAGGGTGAACAGGATGGTGTTCTACGTCATCGAGATCGCGAACCCCTGATGGGCTCCACTCATCGGATGACTAAGTCAGTCTTAGCCTATTCTGGATGGCATGGCCTCCTTCCGTGAGAACACTGTCAGCCGCCAACACTTTTCGTCGTCGGACGCGACTACGACTTCAACCACTCCGAGCAAACACTTCTTTTGCTTTCATGAATTTTGGCGATCAACTCCTCATTCTCGGGGCACCTCAAACTCTTCCAAAGTTCCGTTAAGAACGTGTGTCGCAACACCTGTGAACCAATACACACATCGCGCCACGTCTTGGGCAACATTGAACACAACCTTTCATCGCTGATGTAACTTTAAAGATTGGTTCAGCTGAATAGAGGCTGTATTGCTATATAACAACGAAGCACGAGCCGATTGCGACCATCGCCTTCAAGCTCTTCCATTGTAAGCCAATAGGTTTGGTGCGCCTGCTACATCTGTAAGGCGATTTGGCTAAATTTAGGTTCGCGAAGTCAGTGAACGTCTCACATGCAGTCGGTGTAGAGTCACCTACAGTAGCCAATGCCAAAACTCTTGCCCTCGCGGCCGGGCCAATCGATTGCCCTTCGAGACCCCGCAGATAAGACACTATGCCAGCCACAAATGGTGCAGACGCCGAAGTACCACTCGCTGTCATTGTGGCTGTATCCGAGGTGTGCCAGGTAGACGTGATATCACCACCCGGAGCCCAGATGTCTACGGCCGATCCGTAATTCGACGTCGAAGAACGAGCATCATTCGATTGAACGCTTCCTACGCACAGAGCATTGGCAGCACGAGCTGGCGAGACATTTGCGGCCGGCTGGTTTTCGTTTCCTGCAGCGACGACAGGCAATATACCTCGGTTTGCCAGTGCGTTGACAGCGTTATCCATGGATGAGGAGGCTGCCCCACCGAGCGATAAGTTCACCACGGCTGAACCCAGTCGGCTTTTGGTGACGATATCGTTTGTTACCCAGTTCAAGCCCGCCAGCACACTGGAGCCAGCTGCCACGTTATCATCGCCTATCACTTTAACCGCAATGAGATTCGTCTTCTTGGCGACGCCGTAGGTCTTTGAACCAATTACACCAGCTACGTGGGTGCCATGGCCGGTGACATCGGCATTGTTGGTGTTGGCTGCATTGTAGCCCCAGGAAGCGCGGCCTTCGAACTCGTCATGGGTCGTTCGGATTCCACTGTCTAGTACATACGAGTAGGTTTTGTCGCCAGCTGTCGAATCGTATACATAACTGGTGGCTCCTCTGGTCCTGGAGGATACGCTTGCAAGACCCCATGGTGCGTTGGTTTCTGATAAGTGTCAGCGGCATGGTCTCTCATCATATAAGGAAAGCTCGAACAGGTCTACGGACTACATCAAGTTGAGAGCTTGCAGAGCAGTTGACCAAACGTCGATGTAAGCGTCACGGTGTGATATACGTACGCGTTACCAAAGCTGTAGGATACATCAGGAAGTCTTTCTCGACAAGGAAAACATCATCTAATGCCTCCAATTCGGCAACAACGGCTGGATCGAAGGCCCCGGCATAGCCCTTGAAGTCTCCGAAGTTGTACTCCTGATCGATCCCGGCGTTCAGGTCGACGTCGTCTCGTCGTCCGAGATGGCGAGCTACTATACTGCGGACCTTCTCGCGGTGAGCGGTAAATGTTGCGACGTCCACGTCCGGCTTGAGCTGTACGATGTATCGGCCCGCGATCGAATCTTCGGTTGAGCGAGTTGTGAGAGGTGCCGCATGAGCAAGAAATGATGCGGCAGCTGCAGCAAGAGAAAGAGCACGGATAAAGAACCGCATCTTGAAAGACAGAAAGAGGGGTAGTAATTGCTGGAAGAATAGATTGATGGAGACGATTTAGGAGTTATCGCAACGCTTTCGCATACTTATAGCGATCAAGAATACCAAGCTCGACACCACGCTCCATCGCGCACCCTCAATCCAGGCTACTACCGACGGAAGAATTGAAGCTTCATGTACCCCCCAAACATATCCAATAACGACCACAAGAGAAGAAAAATGCCTGGCCCCAGGCGCTTGCGGATGTCGCCCGGCTGACGTGCGCAGAGACTATCTTCGTATGTACTCCACACTATCCACTGAAGAGCGACCCATCTGCCTGCTCCTGCCTCTTCTTCGTGCGATCCGATAGTTCATGCAGATGTCCTGCGATGCAATGCAGGGGCCGAATGCCCTGCGCTGCACGTGCGTGGCGAGGCAGACTGGGCGAGGTTTGTCGTTACGGTCTTGGAAGCTTCAGATCTTCGTTGGAACGTCTGAACAAATCTGCGATGTAAGACTACAATATTACCGAAAGCAACAATGGGCATTGTCGTTGACTGTGACACGGCAAGAGAACCGCTTCAAAGGGTTCGCGATCACGTCCCCGCCCGCAGTGGGGCAATGTCTCAACTGCGCCGCAGTCCATCACCGACTAGACTCAATCCCCGGAACTACTGTGCCTCATACACATTTTGCTGCACGCACTCCGAGACCGGGAAAGCTCAAGTAGACTGGCGATACGACGTGGCGAAATGCTGCCTCCTGCGTCCCCCTCCATCCGCCGGGTACCTCACTAATCACGGCCGCTCTTCGGGGAAGAGGTATTACTCATTGCATTATCATATATACCGGCTATTAAAACGCCTCCACTATCCAGTAAAGTCTCATCGTTCATCCCGGGGCTTGCTCGAACCCAACTCACGTAGCCACTTTGGCCAAACGACTCTTTCTCAGCGAACTACTCCTCCGGATCGCGACCTCCACGCTTCTTCATCTCCTCGAGGTATTCCTCCTCGGTCTCGAGATCAAATGGCAAAGGCCTGGTGATGGGATGAATCGAAGCACCGTGGTCTTCGAGTTGCTTGAGACGCTTCATCGTGGCGGGTTTGGTGCGATTGACGCTGTAAAGCTTGACGCGGCTACAGTAACGTTAGCCTTCTAATATCTAGCAGGCAACATCACTCAGAAGAGAGATACTTACTGGCATGAGGATGTCACGTGAAGATCCCAGTTCCATGCACTTCGCACGAACGTGGGTTGCGTCTGCGAATAAAGTCAGCAAATGCCATCTGGTAGTTACAGCGAGACTTTGCCACGCCACATTGAGACAACGACGATGTAAGATGTGCGGGACCTTCGCAACGGGAGTCAAAGTTTGCTTACATTCAAGGCATCATCCCAGCAACGCACGCAGAATTCACTGAGCAACGTTAGCATTTGTCGCAGATCTACCGACGACAATAGACTTACAGCCATCCCTCAGCATCGACTGGAATATCGACCCACCACGTGCGCCAGGCATGGTAGTATTTCTTGCTCAAGTTCTCGTATGGCACCTCATACCAAACACCGCCACCATCGTTGCTGACTTCGACTCGTTCCGGCCAGCCACTTCCACTATACGCCCAGCCAGTCATGCGGATCTTCCCATCGTGTACAATGACGTCTTTGTCGACAGGCGTCATGATAGCACTCGCGACAGGCATAGTTTGGATACTGAAACCGTTGCTGTATGTGACGTTTTGCTTGCCGTTCTGCGGAGTATAGTAGAGGTACTCCTTCATTTGAACGGGAGCTAGAGACGGCTGGTCGATGACGTTGATGCGAGTGAGCCATTTGCAGCTTCTGGCGCCGATGTAGCCCATTACGACGGTACGGAGTGGGAAGCCATGGATGGCGGGCAGTGGCTCTCCGTTCATCTCCCACGCCAGCATGACCTCGTTGATCTTCACCTTGCGGGTCGGTACTGATACAGCGTAGTTGTATACGTGACCCTTCTTGAAGTAGGTGTCGGCGCCAAAGAACTCGACGTGCTTTCCTTCCGGCTTCAGTCCGCAGTACTTGAGCACCTTCTTGAGACTGACGCCCACGTAACGGGCCGTACCGATGGCACCTTCTCCCCACGGCGCATTGATGAGTTCGTCTCCGTCTCCAGGGTAGTCGTGGATCTGCTCGATACGGCGCGTACCACTACACTGAAGAGTGACGCAGGTCTCCATGCGTGGGAAGATGCTCTCGTCCTGTAATTCCTTCAATGTGATCTTCTTTGGCTTGTCGACGAGACCTTCGACTTCGAAGAAGTATTTCTCCGGGTCGATCTCAGGAATGCCACCGTGATTACGGACAAAGTGGTCTTTGTTGTTGGTAATCTCCGTTTCGACAAGGCGCTTGCGCTCTGGCTCTCCGTTGTAAGGGAATTGCAGTACATGGACCATGTCCTCGCTCTTCTCTTTCTTGACGTGTTCCCATGAGTCGCCCGGCATATCCTTCAGCGTCTTGCCCATAGCATAGTGGTAGTGTTTCCATCGCACACCTTCAAGGACCGGGTTGGTCTTGGGCAACGGCTCCAACTGGAATTCGGGAGGTACGGGGAAGTCATATTTCGCCAGGATTTCCGCCGCCTGCTTCTTCTTTTCTGGGTATCGCTCCCACTCGATGTATCCTTTCCACCCTTCTCGCTCTTCTGGAAAATTTGGCTCTTCGGCCGTCAAAAGCTCGAAAGGCTTTGCGTTGGGTTCAGCAGGCGCCATGGTCGTAGTGTGGAGTTGGGGAAGTTTGATCTAGCATGAGGCTCGGGGTGCATCCCCCTACAAACGCACGCGACTGTCGCATTGTGGAGTGGACGCGCCAGCCCATGTGCGTTATGTCATGACCTCAAGGTGACTGATACTTAATCATGGGCTATACTGATCTGCCATAACGTGTACTGCAGGCAACCCCTGTACATCGTCGTGCCAGCACGTGGTCTACCTGGATCCACGAATGAAAATGCCGCAGGCTCCGCAAAAGCGACAGGAAGAGATACACCACTGCGTCATCATGATGAACGTTGAAGAGCTGCCACACATCCAGGAAGCGTACCATGCGCCTAGAACCAATAATCGTTAATTCCGAAATCCGAGAATGGGCAGGGCAAATGCCGGAGAAAAGATGGAAACGGTGCGACCCGCATGCGATTGATGAGTAAGAATGCTAAAGTCTTGAGAATGCTTCTTATTAGTAGTCATTGCTTACAGACATGCTTGGCGTAGTACTCGTGAACCAGACCAGTTCTAGTCGGTGATGCAGACCTGATTACATGCAGGCCGCATACGAGAAGTTCGAAGAGGCTCGCTTACATCGCCGACGAATTTCGGGAGGGCCAGCGCGAATTTTCATGCCAGGGGTCAGGCATACTGCAGACAAAACCGGAAAGCAGCGCGATGACTATCGTTGTTGCAGAGCAAGGGATGGCCAGAGTTGGCATGCACGCATGGAAATGCGCGGCAGTTGGTTCACAGGTTCTGCACGTGTCGCCTCGGCAAGTTGCATGGCATGCTAACCAGAAAGGGCTTGGCCCGCTTTTGCCCGCCGTCATCTCACCGCAGAACACCACGATCTCAGCATCTAGACATCCGTCAGTCTCCGCACGTCTGCATTCGATATGGATGATCAACAAAGAAGCCGCAATAACATCTCTCGAAATCCCAGCCTAGATCACCAACATATCACTCAGCTTTCGCAATGGCGGACGCGGAGCTAGTAGCGCAATGGAGTGCACCCCTATAGAATTGCTGCTATCTCAGCTGTAGGCATTACGCCGCCTCCTTCCAACCACAGAATAAGATTCCGACCCATCAAGATATGACAATGCGTCTGATAACATCAGTCAAAGTCAAGCACCTGCGTGCTAGAGGAGCGGATCATCTGCTACTCGTTCTCACGCGCTCCACGTCCTTACTATCTGATCGAAGAAGTCTCATCGAATAGCATCGCAGTCCACGTCCTTTCCGAGGAAGGATCATTACACGGCAAACATCGAACCAACGTGATTCGATGTGCCATCGGAAGATGAGGATTTTCCCCCGTGGCGGCGCCCAAGGGCCGCCCTTGCAAACACGGCCCGCGTCCTTCGGTTCCGGATTTCGATATCATTGACTGGCCGACATGCGACCTCTGGGAAAGCGTGCGATATACAGTAGCATCACACACGTTCAGTTGGATCTCAAACATACTCTATAGCCCGGGCCATGGGCTCGAACTGCTGGAATGTATTCAGTCTGAACTGTACGAGTAAAAGCTATGAAACACAAGATCAAGGGATCGCCCAATACAGTGAAGGAGCCGTATCAGCTAGACTCTAGATGGAGATTCGTATCTCGCATCTGGCAAACGGAAGGACCATGTATGCATATCTCCGTGAGGACATCTGGACATCTGGCCAATCGCAATTTTTGATCTTGATTTCTACGCCGCAGATATGCAGATATGGTTCATACTGGGTAAAAAGACGGCGACATATGGCCTGGAGGATGGCAAGCGCGGGTTGCGTGGCTGCCCAGAGAGACTATGGGAGGCACACCATCATCAATGGGGGAAGCCCAGTTCACCCGGCAATAGACTGCTACATCTCGGCTTGCTCAACACGTCTTAAATGGTCATATTCATCGGTCACCCTCAAGCCTAGTCTTCGCCTCCGCATCTTCGCCTCTCATTTTCACGTTTTGTTGTCCATACCTTTAGAGCAACAATGGTCAATATGGTTGCAAATGCCCAGAGCGCGCTGTTGCAGAAAGCAAGAGACTCTGCCTCTTTCGACACATTCCAGTTGACGTGCATACTATGGGGAAGGTCAGTACAGTTTGTGATCCTATGTAACATCCTCTCTAACCCATCTGCAGTGAGAAAATTGTCAAAGAGCGACGGGCCGCCTTCAAGCGAGTTGAGAAAGCAATCGGCACCGACGACAATGCAAAGCTTCCTCGATGCTACGCACAGACATCACGCGAGGATCTATTCGAGCAAGGTCTTGAGATGGGAAAAGCGTGTCTCGATGATATGCTCAAGCATGACCATGAACACTTTGTGTGGATTACGCCGCGATACAATCTTATGAACGCCAGGTATGTGGAAGTAGTCAGGAGAATCTTCCACGACTGACTAACTGACTTCCAACAGCCCCTTCGGCCACAAAGCCATCCTCTTCGAGCCCGGGATGGAGCACAATGGTACTGAGGAACAAAAGGCAAAGTGGCTACCGCTCGCTCGATCCGGCAAGATACTTGGTACATACGCACAAACCGAGCTTGGTCATGGTTCATTCGTGCGAGGTATCGAAACGACCGCCACCTTCGACCCCGACCGCGATGAGTTCGTCGTTCACTCGCCAACAATCTCATCGACAAAGTTTTGGCCTGCGGGGCTAGGCTTCTCTACCACACACGGCACAGTCATGGCGAGACTCATCGTTGGCGATCAGGACCACGGCCCACACATATTTCTTGTACAACTTCGCTCAGTCGAGGATGGCACACCAATGCCAGGTGTGAAGATGGGCGATGTTGGCTTGAAGCTTGGGTAAGTAACGAGATCGCAGAAGACGTCAGGAGTTCAGTCACTCACCTAGATCCAGCTATAACGAAGCTGACAATGGTTTCGCCTCCTTCGACAACGTTCGCATCTCTCGATCGCAGATGCTCATGGCCCACAGCCAGCTCACATCCGATGGCACATTCACCAAAGACCCCCTTCGCGCCAAGCTGTCATACTCCGTCATGCTGCTCGTCCGCGGCAGGATGCCCAGCGTCTTTACGGTCCAGCTAGCCCAAGCTTTGACGATTGCGACACGATACTCTGTTGTACGACAGCAAGGCCTCGGACCTGCCGACGCGTTTGCCACTGAAGGAAGCATCTTGCACTACAAGCATCAGCACTTCCGTCTTTTGAGCTTGATTGCCAAGACGTACGCCATGTTCTTCGGGTCTCGGGTCTGCGACGAACAGTATAATAAACTACGAGAGATGCAGAGCAAGAACGATCACTCGCTTCTGCCGGCTGTTCACGCATTGACTGCTGGAATGAAGGCGTATGTCACGTCCGAGGCCGCTGATGGCGCTGAAGACGCACGTAAGCTGTGCGGCGGCCATGGGTACATGTCTATCTCAGGCCTACCAGACATCGTCGGTGCCTTGGTCGGTGGCGCGACGTTCGAAGGCGAGAACTACGTTCTGTGGCAACAACTTGGGCGACACCTCCTCAAGCAACTCGACCGCTTACAAGACGGCGAGCCAATCGAGCCCCACGTACAGTACCTGACCGATATCGAAGACCCCAACCTCCCATGTAGCGCATCCGCAACGCAGTTTCTCGACTCTAAAGTCCAACTCGCCATCTATCGCGACCGTGCACACCGTATGGTCGTGAAAGCGCATTCGGCAATTCGCGCATCAAGCAAGCTACCAGCAGATGCGTGGAACGAGCACATGATGCTGCTCATCTCCGCATCGCGGGCCCATATCGAGTACTTCATCCTGAAGTCATTCACGGATCTCATCTCAAGCCTTCCTGACTCTACGTGCAACTACCTCCGCATCGTCTTGAACCGTATGCGCGCCCTCTACGCCTTGTCCACGATCATAAACCCACGTACCGTCGACGCAGTCTCTTTTATCGAAACAGCTGACGAGCGGTCTCCTTACTTCACTTCGGGACAGCTCGACACTATCCGGCATCTTGTCAACGGCTTGCTCGACCAACTACTGCCCGAGGCTGTCGCCCTGACGGACGCGTGGGACTTTTCCGATGCTAGTCTCTGCAGTGCGCTGGGTATGTACAACGGTAATGTGTACGAGAATATCATGCGTTGGGTTGAGCAGTTGCCTATTAATCAGAAGGCGTGGCAGAATGCTGGGGTGCAGCAGGGGTGGAAGAAGTGGGTTGATCCGATCTTGAAAAGGGAGGCGAAGTTGTAGAATGACGGAGTCTGGATGTGCCATGCGCATGGTCGCGATAGTATGGGTGTGATGGGGACGGTAGTATTGGATGCTGTGAATTGGAATGTTTTGTATTTGGAAGACAGCTACTGCAATACTTTTGCGTGCTCCTATATAGTACAATGCAATGATCCTAGCGAGCTTGGTACCAATGTAGATTGGTAGACCTCCACTCATATGTGACGCAATCTCATTGCTCCTCAGCACAAGCTGCAAGACGCCAGTGTGTCTCGATGCGTCTGTTCAGCTTATAGCTGTAGAACAGGCAAATCCTTGTCTGAGAGCACTTTGGTCAACTGACTGATCCAACTCTGAGCGTTCAGCTTTTCAACCTTGACGTCGAACACATTATAGCCTTTCACGTTGACCATAACTCTCTTTCCCCCATTGACGAATTCCTCCAGGACAGGGAAAACCATTTGAAGCTTCGTCACAAGCTCTTTCACTTGCTGCCCTGTCACCGTCGAGGAGAACTTTTGTGTACATTGAAATTGTACGACGACCCGCACATCCGCTCTTAGTGATAGCAGTCTCCGGAGGTTCGCGGCAAGTTGGGTAACGTTTCCATACACGTCCCCGGTATATTCGAGGCGGATATAGATGTGTTTAATGTGCTGGCGCACATCGATGTCCAGACCCCATCTGTCGTGGAGGAGGAAGTCCAAGGCAGCTGAAGCGCGTTTGGGGTTGCTACCACGCCCGAAGGGGAAGCCGAGGACGATGAATGTCGACACCTCGTACCACATCTCGCTAACCTCTTTCATGGTGTCGAGCGGGATGTATCCATGCACGAAGAGATGATCGCAACTGTTCTGCCGTAGGGAGTGGAGCCATTGAACGTTGCGATCACGGCGCCCGACGATGTAAGTCTCCCGCGGCAGTAGATGGGCGTACACCATGTCTCGCAGTTCTCGTGGTAGTTTGCTTTGGAACAGCGTGGCTAGTGTCATGCATTCTGCCTTGGCGTAGGTCGCGATGTACGTGTTGAGTTCATCGTCGAGCTTTTCTGCTGCTTTACCGATCCGAAATCCTTCGTGCTTTCTGGTGTGGAGAGTTTCCTCGGGGGGACAGCTGGAAGTTGTCGGGTCGCAGAGTAGAGTGCAAACGTGGCGCGTCAGTGCTACTTTTCGCAGAGCGCTAAATGACTAGTCAGCAGAATGTCTGTCAGTCGCGATTATCTTACTTACCGTTGCACCAGATCCCTGTCCATGGTCGGTGTCGCAATGTGGGTACGATCCGTAAGTGGGAGAGTCTCGGTACGACTGAGAAAATGAAAAGCGTGACACTAGCTCTCGTTTGTTATTGTTTCGATTTCTCCAGGCTCCAGCAGCACGTGATCGACCGGGTAGGCGCACTCGAATCTTTGCACAACAAGCTAGCACCTCTGCGTGTGCTACTCAGACCATCCAAGTCACATTCTCGCAGGGATTAATCTCCCTTATACACCTTCTCCATGCTCATGAGCCTTGCATGTATTTCCTTCCAGCTTCACCGATCCAGTGCTTCTTCTCTCGACCTTCGTAATGAGGATGCGCTTAGCTGTAGTCGTCAACGCGGTGAAGTAGCTCACCAATTCGCACTTGGGAGCAGAAGATGAGCACCGCACGCCATGGCCTTTTTGTTGTTTGGAGACTACCGCGCTTTGGAATTCGTCAGATGTGTCTTCTATACTACACCAAAGAGCTGCTCGTTGTCTTTTGACGAGCGTGTTGTCAGAGCATATTACCGTTGTATGCAGCAACTGTCGTCTTTGCTCTCCAGTCACCAACGGACAACGATAATGTGAGTGGCTAATGGCACTGAGATGTGAGCAACATGTGAGATGATGAAAGTAAATTGACCTGAACGCCGTCTCCTAGCCCGTACGAGGGCAATGGGTATCTATGCAGGCCGTTGGTACACAGAGTAAAATACATTCGAAACCATAAAAACGCCACTTGCCCCCTAAGTTCTCGTGCACTACAACCACAATACGCCACGAATGTCAGCGCTCGAAGACTGGTAAGGAAACAGCTCCGCGACATTCTCTGGAGCATCTTTTCCATCTAGGCAATCCTCCACCACACGCACAATGCTCTCGAAGTCGGACAAGACGCGTTTCGCATACGGCTGACTATAGGCCAAGTCATGTAGCATGCCCTTAGCGCGGTGGAAAGCCTCGATGTGGGCCTCGGTGTGGGCATGTGTACTTCCAGCAAAGTGGCGGACGAGAAGAGAGCAAAATACCAGAAGTGCATTCGACAGGGCCGATGTCATGCGATGCCGGAGGCTGAATGACTGACGAGCCTCCTGTGTAAAGAAGGTCATTTTTGTGAGGGTGGAACAGGCAAGCTGGCTGAGGTGTTCGGCATGATTGTCGTCGTATTGCAGGGAGATTATGACGGAACGTAACCCCCAAAGAACGAAGTCCGTCTTCTTCTGCTTGATGAACATGGTCAGCAGTGGTACACCTCCCTCATCCCGCTGAGCGTATGATGGCATCCCCAGTACTGGTAAGTCGTGATCGAGGTAGTGGGAGATCTGCCGGTCAATGATGTCCTGGGTTGTGCTATCCAGACTGCGACCGTCCACAGCGTTGCTGGCGTAACGCGCCCAGAGTATGACGTAGTGAATGTAGTGATCGATGAAAGGCCTGGGGTCATCAATATCATCGGGTTTGTAGAGGTTTGCCTATAGAACGTGAGCGTGAGGTAGCAGGAGGAGGACACGTTAATTTAGAAAGAAAGGAACACCCTGGAAGCGACATCGACGTCAAGACACCCACTTTGCATGTTCCATCTTGACGTAGTCTCCAGACCTGTTCAGGGGGACGAAGGATAGGAGGTGTGGGCTTTACTTACCCTTTGTGACAGGTCCACAGGCGCCTCGACTTGGATATCGGTTTCGTGGATTCTATATGGTCTTCCACAAGTCCACGAGATGAATCGGTCTTGGACGAAGATGTTCCAGAAGGTGCAGATGCGCTCATAGGCTTGAACCGTCGTTATATTTGTCCACGTGGACTGCTGATGTAGGGAAGATTGTAGAGCGAGTGTTGCAGCGGCGCCGATGGTGTTGTAAGCTGGACCGGGCATGTCTGCGTATTGGTAGTAGAGGGCCTACAACTATCAGTCTATGCGCATCAAGTTCGGAGCTTTTAGGCACGTACCTGGAATAGAACGCACTGTATCAGCGTCAGATCGCCGCTTCCGCTTAGTAGCGACCTCTTGTCGACGAGCTCGTCAGCCATTTCAAGCCAGCGCCACCCCTTAGGCTTGCCAGTGTCGATGGGTGCGACATTGAGGAGTACGTCGCAGCATGCGAAGATGGTGTAGTTCAGCGCGAGAAACTCGCTATCTTCTGATGGTATGGTGGTGCTTGCTAGCATGTGTTGGCTGCGGTTGCGGAACTCGGGTTCATCTATGCACGGATGAGACAGGTGAATGTCGGTGAAGAAGGAGGCTAGGTACTGTTGGTAATCGGCGGGACTAGGAAAGGGTAGCTTCCTGTTGCCGACTTGTACGAGGTGCGATGGGTCGCCGTTGATAGGGGAGCCAGAGACTGGAGGGACGGGTATTGCTGGGTCTGCCGACTCTTGCGAGAAGAGCGAGGGCTGTCCCATGAAGGCGAGTGCTGGGTTGATGGGATCCAGCGGCGGGACAGACAACGCAGCGTCACCTCTGAAGGCATCGCTGCCGTTCTCGTCACGCTCCACACTGCCCATTGGTGTCATGGTCAGGCCTCGGTCGCGCATGAGAGCTTCCATCATAGCCTCAATTCGGGCCATGCGCGCTTCCATGGTCATGCCGCGTGTGCTGGCATCGCTCGCCCTTCGCTCGGTACCGTTTTCCGACGGCATTAAGCTCCTTCGTGGTATGTTGTGGCCGTTGCCGTTGCCGCTGGTGGTCGAGGCTTGTGTATGGAGGGCAGGCGTGGGTCGACTGAGGTTCTGCAGGGCTTCGGCGGCCGTCTGGTCTTCAGAGAAGAAGCATCGCTTGCCGTTGTCCATGCACCGTTGGCATGGGTTTTCGCCGGAACACTGTTGACGTCAGTTGTTGACTCTCATTGTCGTTGCTGGGATAGTTCGCAGACGAGGAAGCGACGCTGTCGCATGAGGAAGTCGCGATGCAGTCGCGAGAGAAGTGGCTAAGGCAGCCATTGTACAAAAGAGCGTACATACTTTGAGCTTGGATCGCCTGCATGATACACCTGCACAATCTGTCAGCCGGCTGATGGCATAGCCTCGTCGTCCTGTCGCGCGAGCTGCGTCGAACCACTACGGAACCATCGGAATGCCGCATAGGAAGCTCGAGATGCGCCGAATCAGAGCGAGTGTCGCGACTTACATGCTTTGGGCGCGTACTTTTGACGGACCTTTTTACGCTTGGGCGACGACGACCTCCGTTCGACGTCCATGTGTTCCATAGGCGAAGGCTGGCTGTTCATGGCGCGATGGAGTTGTTGGAAGAAGGATGGCGCTCCCTCAAGCTACTTCGGAACGCGACCGGGATCCGGGCTGCTAGCGCGTCTCCAGCTTCCATACTTGTGCAGCCAACGGCATCACTTTCATTCCTCCATCCATCACAGACGTCGTCAAAGAAATTTGCATTGAAGCAACGAGTCTCAAGCTACACGAAGTAATCCTGCTTAGTTTGAAGTTTCGCAGAATGCTATTTCGAAGCGAAAGGTCTGGTATGGACACGCCCAGCTTCTGACATGTGATCGCACTATCCTGAGGCCTGTTTCTATTGCGCATATCTACTTTCATGTTCACAAAACCACTCGACATCGGTCACAGTCCAATATCTCTCAATCAGATTTCTCGGCACCCAGACTAATTTGAACTTGAGTAATATTAACTATTATTGCTATGGACTCTGGAATGGCAGCGAGCTGAGACGTCCTCACGGCTTTGCGACCTCACACCTGACAGTGGCGTCGTCCCCTGCGTCGCTCGTAGCCGTATTTGACGTATGAATTATCCGCTTCTGGACCGCGGTAGGTCTTGAAAGATAAAGGAACAATGTGATCAAGAAAGAGAACTATCAAAGAATCAAGAAAGGCAAAACTTGCTTGCGTGCTGAAAATGCATGACTGGATACCTCCGGTATGCAGTGATGAGAAAAAGGCAGATATGGAAGTCGTAGCTTCGTAAGCCGTAGTGTCGTGAAGTCATGACTTCGTGAGGAAGAGCACTTCTGGCCCTTTCCGTCACCCTCCCACGTTTCTCATGATAGCGAAAGAGATCAGACTGCAGTTCAGAAACGGCATCCAGCAAAGAGACAACTTTCTTCATCTCTCGCCAACACCAATCACCCATGCATCGCCCAAATCTTCAACGCCAGCCCACAAAGTTTCCTAAGCGCCTTCGTCTCCTTAACCTCCCTATACCTCTTCGCCAGCCCATCAATCCTCCTCACACACTCCTCAATCTGCGCGCGATAATACGACGCATCCATCGTCCCCAGCACCTTATCCTCACCGTTCGCAGCATCAACAAGGCCCTTGATGCACTCGGTGACGGCGCGGCGGTGACTGTTCTTGGGCTCGGCGTGCCGGAACATGTCTTCCATCTCGGCTTGGAGGACCATGTTGTCAGTGCTGATGTACTGGAGGACCGAGGTGCGGGCGGCGCTGTCGCCGGGCTCGATGGTTATGGATGGGATTGGGGGGTTGGTGGCTTTGGAGGCGGCGTTCGAGGCGGTTGCGGCGTAGAGTTTGGAGATGCCGCTTCCGGGTGGTGCGGAGGTGGTGGCGTTGGCGAGCGTGGATTGGGGGGCGTCGGGGTCGAGGCCGGAAGTGGAGGCTCGGCCACGGAAGGACCATCCTCCTGCGGGAGGTGGGACTGCGCCAGGGAGGGAAGAGGCGGTCTGAGATGTAGCGTTCGCCATCGTGTTGGCTTTTGTAGAGCTAGAGCTCTGATAGAGGTCGCTGAACGGTTGCGGCTTGGGCGCAAGAGGATCAACGAATACCGTCGGGTTGTTAAGACGACGAAGGATCTCCTCAACGCACTGAGCCATGCGCATAGTCTGTAAATCCAGGTTGTTGGACCTGCCCAGTAGGAAATCATAGAGTGCCTGTAGACGAGCCATGGGCCAGGCTTCCTTGAGCTTCTGGGCGCCATCCGGATCCAGGGGAATGTCAGCGTCAAACTCTTCAAGCACGCGCTTGACGGGTTCAAAGACTTGGTGGGTCAGAACTTGCACGACCCTGGCCACCTCCCACTGTTCT